GCAGGGGCGGTGCAGCCCTGGCACCTGCACTGGCACCCAGCACCTTCCCACAGGCTCCTTCCCAAAGGCACCCTCCTGGCTTCCCGGGGTGGCCAAGGGGCACCGGGCTGCACCAAACCGGTCACTTCGGAGAACAGCTCGGGGTGGGGGTTTGAAGGGGGGTGACGGTTTCTCCCTCCTGCCCCAGCTGGACCTCGCCTCCCAGTACATCAAGGTGGCCGTGAAGAACATCCCCACCGTGTTCCTGATGACGGACTCCCAGGTTGCTGAAGAATCATTCCTGGTCCTGATCAATGATTTCCTGGCATCCGGGGAGGTGCCGGGGCTGTTTCAGGATGATGACCTGGAAAACATTATCCGTGCCATGAAGCCCCAAGTGAAGTTCCTTGGATTGGAAGGCACAAAGGAAAACTGCTGGAAATTATTTATAGAGAAAGTCAGGCATCAGTTAAAGGTGGGTGTTCGCCCAGGTGGGGTGTTTGTCCATGCTCTCGACTTGCCTAATCGGAATCCTGTTTGCAGACAGGACGCAGAAACCCACGGTCTCCTCACACAGTGGTGGGTTTGGGCGAAAGGTGTTTTCAAAGGCTCCCCAGCCCACAGCACAGCCCCAGCCCCAGGGGCAGGGCTCTTCCCACCCACATATTTACCTCTCTTGGGGCAGAGCGGGGTGAGCAGCCTCCCCAGCCACGAGCCGGCACCGGGCTGTGCTGGGCAACTCGCAGGGATGCCGCCGCAGGCAGCGCACTCAGCCGCTGGCCACAGCTGCCAAAGCGGGTCCGGTGCTGGCCCCAACCCCACTGAGAGGTGCGGGTTGCACCATCACAGACCATCCCCCACGTACTGGGAAGGGGAATTAATGGGCAGGAGGCAAAGTCCTGACCTCCAGCAGAACATCAGCAGCGATGTGGAGCCCACAGCGATGCTCCTGCCACCCCGCAGGCAAGCTCGGCCCCCGGCAGCAGGGACACCCTGCTCAGCAGCGGTGCTCTGCCCCAGGTCACCCTCTGCTCATCCTCGGCTTCTCGCCTGTGGGCTCGACCCTGCGGGTGCGGGCAAGGAGGTTCCCCGCCGTGGTCAACTGCACAGCCATCGACTGGTTCCACGAGTGGCCGGAGGATGCGCTCGTGTCCGTCAGCAGCAGGTTCTTGGAGGAAACAGGGGACATCGAGGTGAGCCGGGATCCTGGCTTGGTGCATGGCTCGATACACGCTGTACCTGTGCACTGCCCTCTGTCCTGGGGGGCTGGGGAAACTGGGCTGCTTTGGGGACCGACCTGCACCTCTGCCGCTCTCCTTGTTGCAATGTGCCATGGGGTGGGGGTCTGGCGTGACCCAGGGGTGCTGGGGGCAGCGAGACAGCAGTGGGGTCTGGGGTAAGCTCACAGCCAGCTCCAGGGTCAGAGCCTGCAGCCCCACACTGTGCAGGTGGTGACGAACATTTCCTCATTTCCCCTTTGTCCTTAAAACACCACCACAAGTAACAGCCTGGAAACAGCAGCTTTTCCCCAGCACAGCCCAGGTTAACCTGAGGGGTTAGAGCCAGGGAAATCAGAGCTGGGCTTAAGACCAGCGTCATTAGTGCCGTGATCACCTGCGTTTCTCAGCCACGCATTGTACCTTGTACTGTTTAACAAAAACTGGCACTTTGCCTCCCAGCCTCTGTGGCTGGACATGGAACCAACGCTGCGGGGCTCTGTCCTGCCCCAGCGTTCCACTGCGTCCACGCGGCGCAGCGGCTCACCATGCTCCTGGCAGCGCGGCTCATTGTCTGTGCTCCTCGTGCAGCCCGAGGTCAAGGTCTCCATCAGCCAGTTCATGTCCTACGTCCACACAAGCGTTAAGGAGATGTCCAAGACCTACCTGGACATGGAGAGACGCTATAACTACACCACGCCAAAGACCTTTCTTGAGCAGATAAAGCTCTACCAAAACCTACTGTCGAAAAAACAGAGCGAGCTCACTGCCAAAATCGAGAAGCTGGAGAAGGGGCTGACGAAGCTCCAGAGCACGACATCCCAGGTACCCGCGCGCAGCATCGCTTCTGCACCACACCCGCTGCGGGTCCAACGCAGGGGGGCGAGAGGAGGCGCGTCCCCGCAGGGCGGTCGTGGTGGCCACAAGGTCCCTGAGCCGTACCAAGGCACTGCCAGGGCTCAGCAGGATCAGCCCTCTGACCCTTTCCGTTTCTCTCCCTGTCAAGGTGGATGACCTGAAAGCCAAGCTGGCGGTCCAGGAGGCCGAGGTGATGCAGAAGCGTGGGGACGCAGCTAAACTGATCCATGTGGTGGGCATCGAGATGGAGAAGGTCAGCAGGGAGAAAGCCATTGCTGATGAGGAGGAGCTGAAGGTCCAGGCCATCAACACGGTGCGTGGCGCTGAGCTGGTGCCCACCACGCCGGGGCCCAACATGGGACGGGGCAGCACGAGCTCCGTCAGCTCTGGCTTATCGCTCTGTCCCGTCCCCTCACCTCCCCAGAACGTGGCCGAGAAGCAGCGAGCCTGCGAGACCGGCCTGGCAAAGGCAGAGCCGGCGCTCCTACATGCCCAGGAGGCCCTCAACACGCTGAACAAGGTGGGCAGCGCCTCGGTGGGAAGGCGGTCCCCGGCTGGTGCTGGTGATGCTCAGCAGCCCTGCGGTCCCTTCCCAGAACAACCTGACAGAGCTGAAGTCCTTCGAGTCCCCGCCCCAAGCGGTGGTGAACGTGATGGCAGCCGTGATGGTTCTGACGGCCCCCAGGGGCAAGATACCGAAGGACAAGAGCTGGAAGGCAGCAAAAGTCATGATGAGAAAAGTAGACACATTCCTTGACAACTTGAAGAGGTTTGACAAGGAGCACATCCCCGAGGCCTGTCTCAAGGAGTTTCAGTGAGTCCGTGGCCGGTTCCCACCCCCTTCCTGGCCCCGTGCCGCCGGGCTGCCCAGGGCAGGGCACCCAGGAGAGACCCTCACCCGGCGGGGCAGGAGCAGGATCCAGGCTTTTGCTCTGCTCTCCCACCCTGTTGCCCATCATCAGCCCGAGTCCCGGGAGGAGTGGGACAGGGCTGCCAGCAGCCGCAGCACGGTGCCATAGCACGGTGTGTTCTCCCGTTCCAGGCCCTACCAGTCAGATCCCAGCTTTGATCCAGAGTTCATCATGCCGAAGTCAATAGCCGCCGCAGGGCTGTGCTCCTGGTGCCTAAACATCGTTCGCTTCTACGAGGTGTTCTGCGAGGTGGAGCCCAAGAGGCAGGCGCTGGAGGAGGCCAACGCCGACCTGGTGGAGGCACAAGAAAAACTCAGTCATGTTAAGAAGAAAATTGCCGTAAGTGTGTGGCCAGAGGAGGCCACTGTTTGCCTTGGCTGGCGCCCGCCACAACCCCACCAGCCACCGGCAATTCGGCTGAGGGTCACGGCCAGAAGCCAAAAACAATCAAGAAAGATTCTTATAATTCACATAAGCCAGAGCCCAGGTGCAAGAGCTGCGTCACCATGACAGGGGCTGCTGCAAAGCCACTTGGGGTCTGCAGAGCTCTCCCCTGGCCTGGCAGCTCATCACAGCAGCGCTCTGTGTGGGAGGTAACAAGACATGGTGTCGTCTTTTCAAGGGCCTGAACGCCAACTTGGCAGCTCTCACTGCAGAATTTGAGAAAGCTACAGTTGAAAAAATCAAATGTCAGCAGGAGGCTGATGCAACCAACAGAGTCATCACGTTGGCAAACAGGTACCGTGTGAACGCTGGCTCCAGAAGCACTGGGACTGTCTGCTGCTCCCTGCCATGGCCTGGCGACAATGGCACGGGGATCAGGGAAGCATCAGAGCCCCCCATACCCTCCCTAAATTAAAAAATCCTGAGTATGAATTGGGACAGAAATTTGGGAAGGGGGCAATGCAGCCATAGAGCCGCACACCTCGGGTGAGGGCAGCCACCGCCTGAGCAGAGCTGGGTTAATCCCAAAGGTGTTTGGTGACAGCTGCCCACCCTGGGACATCATGGCCAAGCCCCCCAACCCCACACAGTGCCGGGAATGGCAGCACCACAGCAGCCACCCTCTCCTCTGACCCCCCCAGGCTCATCAGGGGCCTGGCATCCGAAAACATCCGCTGGGCTGAGTCAGTGGAGAAGCTCCGAGAGCAGGAGAAGATGCTGTGCGGAGACGTGCTGCTGGTCTCCGCCTTCGTGTCCTACGTTGGCTACTTCACCAAGAAGTACAGGGCCGAGCTGCTGGAGAAGCACTGGATCCCCTTCCTGAGCGGGCTGGCGGTGAGTGGCCACAGGTCCCATCCCGGGGGGCTTGGGACTCCTTCCTCCCATGCCCGCTGGCACCCAGGGGCTCCCACTCCTCTGCAGCCAGGCGCCCAACAGTCCCTCCCTGGCAGGTGCCCATCCCCGTCACCCCAGGGCTGGACCCCCTCAGCCTCCTCACCGACGCCGCTGACGTGGCTGCCTGGAGCAACCAGGGGCTGCCCAGTGACCGCACATCCATCGAGAATGCCACCATCCTCTGCAACACCCAGCGGTGGCCCCTGGTCGTGGACACCCAGCTCCAGGGCATCAGGTGGATCAAGAACAAATACGGGGAGGAGCTGCGGGCCATCCGCCTGGGCCAGAAGAGGTGGGTCAGGTGCTGTGGGGCAGCCGCGCTGCCTGGAGCAACCAGGGGCTGCCCAGTGACCGCACATCCATCGAGAATGCCACCATCCTCTGCAACACCCAGCGGTGGCCCCTGGTCGTGGACACCCAGCTCCAGGGCATCAGGTGGATCAAGAACAAATACGGGGAGGAGCTGCGGGCCATCCGCCTGGGCCAGAAGAGGTGGGTCAGGTGCTGTGGGGCAGCCGCGGGCTTGGGCTGGAACGGGCCCCCCTTCCCCTGCCCCCGGAGGGGCGCTGCGAGCCAGGGCACCCACATCCCCCCATCAGACTCGGGACAACTCATTCCCGGCGCTGTGTGGGGTTGGGGGGGCTTGGCCATGATGCCCCAGGGTGGGTGGCCATCACCAAACACCCGAGGGCAGCAGCGCTGACAGGGCACCCGACATGTCCACGGGCTCTGCAGGGGCTGGGGCATTCGCCCAAGCTCCCCGCAGCCCCCCGCAGCGGACGCTCGCCCGACACTGCACCTCCCTCCCCTCTCGGCCACAGCTACCTGGACACCATCGAGCAGGCGGTTGCCGAAGGACAGACGCTGCTGATCGAGGACATCGGCGAGACGATGGAGCCAGTGCTGGATCACCTGCTAGGCAGGAACACCACCAGGAAGGGCAGGTCAGCACACCCTGTTCTCTGGCGCCAAGGAGCTTCACCTGCTCTGAGCCACCACTGCTGCCCTAAAATACCAATTTCTGCCCCTTTGCATGTCAGCAGCTGGGGCCTGATCCTTCCCCTGGCCTCTGGCCACATCCCCCAGTTTTCTCCAGTATTTCCTGGTGGGGACACTTGTAGTTGATGGGACGGTTTGGACCGTTCCAGTCTGCAGAGTCCAGTTCACTTAGTGATTTAGGAAGAGC